GAAAAGAATACAGCTAAGAACTGAGCCACTGATGGACAGGGCAGCACACACCTATAATCAAAGCTACTGAGGAGACTAAGGCAGTGTTTGAGGTTCCAGACTCTCCTACATGGGAAGACAGTCTCAAACAAACAAAAATCCTGGTTATCCTTCACACCATTTTAATTTGTGTGTGTGTGTGTGTACGTGCAAATACACATGTGCACAGTATACCTGCATGAGCATAGGGGGGGCGTGTGTGTGGGCCAGAGAACAACATTAGTTGTTATCAGGTGCCATTTGCTAGTTTGGAGGAAGGGGTCTCTCACTAGCCCGGAGCTCTCCTATTAGATGACGCTGGTTGTCTAGAGAACCTGGGATCCACTTACATCACCTCCACAGGGTTAGGATTACAAAGGCATGTCAGCATGCCTATCTCTTTTTATGTGGGTTCTAGGGTTCAAACTCAAGTCCTCATGCTTGCAAGGTAAACACTTTACTACATTATCTTCCCAGACTGCATTTAAGACTTTAGCTTCCTGCTTTAAACATAGTAGCCATTAATCTCTTTGACTTACACACCCAAAAATATGTACTACATCACTATAGCACCAAAAAATATCCAAATTAGAAGACACTTAATTGAGACTGGTAATTACACTTAACTTGAGGGCAGTGGTGCTTCTCGCCTTTAATCCCAGAAAAGGGTGGCAAAGGCAGACAGATCTCTGAGGCCAGTCTGGTCTACAGAGCAAGTTCCAGAACAGCCAGTGCTACACAGAGAAACCCTGTCTTAAAAACAAAAGAAAAACCAACTTCCAAACAAGTCTCCCTTTATGAAGTACCCCACCCCACCCCCAATTCCCTTTAGAAAGTCTTTGTCTGTGTCTTTATTCTGACACTTGTTTTGCATTTCAGTTGTATGCTTTATCCCCTTAAATATATTGTAAGTTGATATATATTTAATTATCAGCTTCAAGGCCCCTAAAGATTCCTGTTCCAACATAGCTTAACTCTTTGCTCTCAATTAAAAAACAAATTAATGGGGCTTAACTCAGAGGTTAAGAGCTGCTCCTGCAGAGAACCCAGATTTGGTTCCCAGCACCCACGTGGTAGCATACCACGTAACTCCAGTTCCAGGGGATCTAATACCTTTTTCTTGCTTCTATGGGCACGAGGCATGCACATGGTGCAGACAAAACATGCAGGCAAAACACTCATACTCATGTAAAATAATAATAATAATAATAATAATAATGCATTAATGAAAAGAAGCCCATCACCATATGATTAATATGCACAATGAAAAGAAACACATGGAGGGATGGCTCAGTGGTTGAGAGCACTGGCTGTTATTCCAGAGGACCTGAGCTCAATTCAATTCCCAGCACCCGCATGGCAGCTCATAACTGTCTGTAACTCCAGTTCCAGGGGATCCGACACCTTCACACAGACATAAGTGCAGGCAAAACACCAATGCACATAAAATAAGAGTAATTTTTTAAGTTTACAAAAAGAAAAAAAATAAGAAAGGAAGCCCCCCTATAAGGAGGTAATCAACTAAAGGTTAAACCATTTCTTTTCTGCTTTCAATTTATTCTCAACTACAAATAGCCTTGAACCATGCTGTGCTTCTATTGGGTTATAATTAGCATTTGATGAAATAGTTCATTAAAATGTACCTGTGTTTAAAAGAAAATCCAAAGACCTCTGAAAACCATGAAATCCAACAAGGTGCTATGGGGGTCATAAAATGTCATCAGAGAAAAGGGTACTTCATTGTGAAATAATTTCTGAAATCTAAGTCTTGAGCTAATATGACTTTCTGTTTTTTACCGAAAACTTGTAGTAAACATCAGTCTTTTTCTTATTGAGGACTGCCATCAGGAGGAGTATGCTTTGCTAGGTAAATACATGAAAGAGCACTATAAAGTTCCCATTAACTTTGAAAAAGCCAGAGGTGTAACAGACAACACAGAACTGTAGACCCATAATGATGACTTATTTATTCATTTATTTTTTATTTTATCACTATGGGTATTTGCCTACATGTATGTCTGTGTACCATTTGTATGGCTGGCACTCACAGAGGAGCACCTGAAGATCTGCAGCACCTGGACTTGGAGTGACAGTTATTAACTGTCATGAGGAAATTGAATTCACATTCTCTAGAAAAGTGCCCAGTGCTCTTTGACCACTTAGCCATCTCTCTAGCCCCTAGTGATGAGCTACTCAGAAATCTTTACCATTCAGCTACAAGAAGACTTTCATAAAAATCTATGAATAGCTTTAAATGCCTTGGGTTTTATCTTTTTTTTTCTTCCTGGGGTCTTCATATTACCACAAAATGCTGGTCTGTTTAATTTGTTCCAACTACAGTCCTACATTGGGTTGAATTCTCTGACCAGAAAAAGGTGTTTCCCAGTGACACCAATCTTTGCATTGGTGTGAATACATGTCTAGAGACATCAGAGAAACCCACAGAGGCTCCTAGAAGATCACCCTCTAAAGTTAGTATGGCCTAGTCTGTGGTTGCACCACAGCCCAATGAGTAGTAGATACTGATTTGGTCTCTTTCATGATTCTTTCCAGAGACATGTACAATTTTTTTCTCACATTTTAATTCTTTTCCCATAAAAAACTTTGGTGTGTGCTTGTTAAGAAGTTTTTTAAACAGGTAAGAAGGCTTCCAAAGAAAATACCAGAAGAAAATAAAACTGGGTTTATTCTTTAAAAGGGAGTGCCAGGTAACATGTGATATCAATGCAGAATTTCCCTCTAAAGAATTATTCAGCCAGCCCTGCTGGTTCAAACTTACTATCAGATCACTTGGGATGCCTAAGCAAGGACTGCTATGAGTTGGAGACTAAAGGCTGGGTTGGGTTTTTTGTTTGTTTCTTTTGGTTGGTGTATTGAGTGGTACCAGGGACTGAACCTGGGATCTTGTGCATGCTAGGTAAGCAATCTTTCCCCAGCCCTTAATAAAAGAGCTAGTTTAAATGGGCTCAAAAGGAACTAACTCCTTATAAGCCACCAGTATAAAAACCAGTCTTGGCCGGGCGTTGGTGGCTCATGCCTTTAATCCCAGCACTCGGGAGGCA